CCAGGATGCCAGAAGAGCAAGCCCAACTGTCATTGACCACAGGCCCTGCTGTGGCCCGAACAAGAGGCCTGCCGCCTAGATGATGCATCGTGTGCTGGAACGAAAAAATGTGTGTGTGTGTGTGAGGTCCTGTTAGATTGGAACGTGTCCTGATTGTTCAGCACCGTTGATTCCAAGAGTGAGAGATAAACAGGTGAGTGTTTGCAGCAAGTCAACACTGCTGGTTGAAACACAAGTTCTCGGCACATGGTTCCACAAAGACACAGTATACTAGAAGGTGCTTCTGAACAGAAGCAAGTTTGGTCCGATCTGGCAAAAGCCCTGTCCGACATAAAGCCATGGAAGCACAGCAACGCCAGGTCTTTCGAAAGCTACAGTCGGTGCGAACAGGTCATCTACTGGCCAGGAAGCTCGTGCAAATGTGGCACACATCGTTCGAAGACCAAAATATCATTCTCAGTCTAATTGATTGGTTGTTTGCCAAAGCCCTGTAACGGTAGATGACCAAAATAATAGCCGATATCCCCGAGGGAAGACTGCCTCACCGACCACTTGGAATTCCGGCTCTATTGGGGTGAGGAGAATCTCGCCGACTGCAAAACGAACTCCCTCGTCTACGCCAGCTACATGCAAGAACTTACAATCCTCAGGAAAATCAGTGAAGTGGACTGACCCGGGAGCCAGGTTGGTGGCTGGATTTAATTCAAAGGTGTGTTCACCGTACATGTTTGTTGACGTTTCATCCAGTTTCGGAGTTGAGACGGAAGGCAGAGCGGCAGAGTTGGAGGAAGGCAGAGTGCCAGACGGTGTCGTTATTCAGCAGCGGACCTGGCTTGCTGTGCGGCACTCTGCCTCCCCTGGTTTCGGCTGGCTTTCGACCGTTTACTTCGTTTGTGCAACAAATTAACCGGCACATTAGAGTCGCAGACCTCCGTTAAAACACCACGCCCCGCGCATCCAACAACGCAAAACCTCACACAAGCCGATGAACAACACCCTGTGCCAGGTCTTCTTCAACGTGTACATCATCGAGCTTCCTCTGTTTTTAGCAACCTTCAATGTTTTTGAATATATTTCATAACTTTGAAAACTTTTTAAACTTCTTAAAAGCGTTTCAAAAAACTTTAAAATCTGCTCTGTTAGAAACCTGTACAAATTTTTCTTGCCTAAAAACACGTATCAAAAGCTTTAGGCATTTGTCTTTACTTGCATGGATTTGTCTCTATGTGTCCGGATTTGTTTATTATCGTCTTTTTTGTCATGTTATGACGTTTATTGTCACTATTTGTCTTTATTTGTCATTCTTTGCCTTGACTGTCAAAAAAGCCTCGGGGATCTGAGCCATGTGGTTCTCGACCCTCGCAAACGGTCAATGATACCACTGCTGCTTTTTGCATTGCTGCTGCTGCTGCTACAGCCAGGTGCCAGATTAGGTCCCTGTACAGGGTCTCGCACGTCAGTTCCGCATAGGCGTCGTTAAAGCTGACGTAGCCAGATCCAGGCCAGGGCTCATTGTACAAAACTCAAGAATCGAATCCTTCAGACGGCTTGGTCAAAAATAAAAAGCCCTTAAGGCGGCCTTGAAAAAAGCCTTCCAACTGTCGTAGTGTGCACGCAGCCCTGAAACCCGTAGGAAGCTTTGCAGAAGTACTTAGTGATGCCGTAAAAGCTTGCCATCGAGAAGCGTTTTGGGGGTTTCGCACAAGCCCTTCAATTAAGACACCTTCCAAAAACCTTTGCAGCAGTTTGAGAAGCTTGTACACCTGCTGTAACGTTTAGATAGCCTTTACAGGATCTGAACGAAGTTCCAAAAAGCCCCGCAGAAGGGATTAGCAATTCACTAGCCGAAAAACCGTTGTTCATGTTGAGCTTATAACTCGGGCTACAATTTGCAAAAGTATGTAAATATGCTTCCGCGAATCCTCCGCGATCATGGTGCTGCGAAAGTAGAAGTGTTGTACATGAAGAAAACTATTCCGGGATGAAGGAATCTAGATCAACAGCCATATGTGCAAAACGGTTTTGCAATGCCGCAAACAGGGTGTCAACTTCGTTGGCTCACTAATCTGAAAGTGTCATCGCAGAATCTTGACAGATAAGGCAGCAGGGGCTCGGTGCGCTGCGGACCGCTTCAACAAAACATGCCCGCTGAATTTGCAAGCATCGCAAACATAAGCCAATGTCGGTGATGGATGCTGAGAGGATGGCAACACTGCGCATTACTATGTACTATTATGTACTCCTAGTACTGGAAGTTGCATTTCGCCATGGCTGCAACAGACGAAGCACCTCCGGCTATCCAGACCCCAGGTGCTCGTTGCGTGACATACTTACTAACTGTAAGAGTTCCTCCGGTGCTACTTGGTGTGCTTTATCAGGTGGCGAGCGTGATTTACCTGTGAACAAGAAGGTGAAACAATTTGGAAGCCCCGTTCTGGAAGCTTGGCAGCAACGTGCCGCAAGTCGGCTTGCCTCATTCACTGTAACTTGTATGTCTTCTCCCTATCGCCGTCCGTGCATGTAAAACCCCTGTGCGAATTGAGCAGTTAACATGAACCGGCGATATGATGACGTACCCGTCAGCTGCTCGGCCAGTCTTCTGCAAGGCCAACAATGCAGCTCTCAGTTGGTACACGGAGCGGGCCTACCTGGATGATCGCAACTTGGACATGATGCCAGCAGACCAAAAAGCTCAAGCACTGTCAGAAGGAGCTTTACTAAGGATTTGCAATTTAGCTCGTTGATGTTGGTTGGTATGTTGCAATGTGCTACTGGTAGCGCCCTGCAGCTGCAACGAGTGGAGAGCTCGTGCCGAGGCTATGCTCGGTGGACGACACACGGCAACCGAGACTTTCTACGCGCCCTAACTCGACAGGCAACGCAATCAAGGCAGGTCCAGACAGTAACTTGCGGCGAAAGTGCACGTGTTTTTTGGACAAGGCTTGTAGCAAGCAAGATGCATCTGCATGTCTTCTGGCATGACGTCTGGGATCTCGCGGCTCGTGTTGCAAGAAAGAGTGTTGGCTGTGCTGCAGAAGAGTGTTGGCTGTGCTGCAGATCCTTGCAGTAGATCTGTAGTGATGGGATCTGTGGAGTTGTTCTTGGATTTTGTTCTGCCGCATGTCCAGCTCGTCCAGAGTGCATGTCAAGACATCTGAAGCGGAAAAAGTCGGTGATGGGTTTTGCTTTAGCCTTGAGCCTGTTGCAGGTACTTTGCTCGTGGCTTTCCCAATTCCTGGAACAACGTATCTGAGGAGATGTGGAGCACCTTCCAAGAGGGTTACAGCCCGCAGACCTGGAGAGGCTACAGCCACAGTTCTATCAAAGTGCGTCATGCTTGCGAAGACATTACCGTCATGCTTGCGAAGACATTACTTGGCACGCCACAATGCTTCTTTTTCACGGTTTTCGGTCATACAAAAAGCACACAAAAAGTTCCGTCGTGGACAGGCACCACCAGCTCGGCCATGGAGGGCTTCCAGCAGCTGGTGCCCAGCCAGGCCTCAAAAAATGTCCGAGAACCACCGTGTCGAACGTGTTGTGCCCAGAGTGTCTCTCAGTGATCTTGGTCGGGGCAGGTGCCAGCATGCGTGCGGACGAATACCGACCGAAGCAGAAAGCTGCCAAGCCGAGGTGCTGACCATCTGCAAGCCTGCAAGACTTGTTCACGTGCACTGTTCATCTAGTGACTCTAGTGTTCGTGGCGCCCCCCCACCCCATGTAAATTCCGATCCAAATATCAATGCTTTGGGATGGGCTGTATCGGTCTTCCATTTCCAAATGACAGGAAACGACTGTCAATGTAAATGACAGACAACAACCACGAGAACACCACTTCGTTCAACTATGCAGGGGTGGGGCTTGCTCTTTCAGGGATGTGATTTGGAGGTGAAACCGCCAGACAAGAGCAAGTGCAGCTTGTCCGAGTGCAGAACTGCCCCCCTCTCTGCCAAGAATGTCTGCTCGGGACCGCTCTCACTTCTCTATGAAAGGTGTACTGTAGGTATATAGGGCCATGGAGGCATGATGGAGATCTCACCAATGTAATTTATTGTTATATTGAGTCATTCTGTTGGGAATGTGATGGCAAGCTGGAGGCGAGGCATTAAGTGAGTTGATTTGACCTGCCTGGTTCTCGGCATCTGGGCTGACGCTGCTGACGAAACCACAACACCCTGCCACCTACTGCACTGCTCCGACGATAGCGACTTCCAAATTCTCCAAAAGTGGACTGTGCATGAACAGAAGACCTTTCTGATGCGGCTGGCGTGATGTCAGGTTCTATCAAGAGCTCGCGAAGCGGCCGAAGCGGTGTTGCATGCAGCTGTGGAGGTCTTTCTATAGAGCTATGAGGGGTGTCTTAAATACTTATCCCATCGGGGGGGTTACGTTGGGTCATAATATTCCCGGAACGCTGGTTTGTTGTCGCATGTTTTCAATAGGACGTGGAGGGTGAGGGAGGTGGGGGGGGGGGGGGGGGGTGCGGCATATTGTTCGAAACCAGGCATCTGGCAACCACGAACTTGGCTGGGCGTAGAGTTTCTGGATTTGGGGTTTCAGGGTTCCTGGATTTTGGGTTTCTGGAGGATTTAGGGCTTCTAGGTTTTCAAGGGTTTAGGGTTTCTCGATTTGGTGGTTTCTGATGTTTCTGGCTTTAGGCTTTCCGGGTTCAGGGTTCACAAACAACCAAACGCAGATGCAGTGCACATTATACCCCAGAAACGATGTCAAACACAAAGAAACCCCACTCCTCCGGGCCCTTAAAGGGACCAAGTTGCGTCCTGACTCGGGGTTGCGACCCGGGTTGCAGTTTATTGTTTGAAGCGTCCCCGACGTCTTGAAATAATTCAGGAAGCGCTGCGTGACCTAGAACCCCTGGCCCAGTTTCGCTAAATCTCTCTAATGTTTAAGAGGTAGAGTGTGTGGGGTCACCATGGTAAACCCAAAACCCTGAATAGGCTTAAACTAGGGTTTACTATCATCCCTTTTTTTGGAACCCGTACTGAGACCAAGGCGGAGCAGCTCACAACAACACGTGATGCAAGTGGCCAAGCAAACCCTAAAACCCTAAGTGTGGGGGTTGAGGGGTGAGGGCTTGGAGAGGGATGTGGGACTGGGTGGGGGTTTTGGGCAGGCGGAGCGCCTGGGCCCCTCCGCCACTCCTCCCCAACTCCCCAGCCTACAAACTTTCGACTGACATAGTGGATCCACTGCCGTGGCCACTTCACTCCAAAACATCGAGCGGTTCAGGGTGCTTTCGAGCACATAAGAGTTGTTTCGAGTGTTTCTAGAGTGTTCTAGAGTGATGTAGAGTGGTTTAGAGCGTTTTGTGGAGAGGTTTGTCAGGGTTTGGCGAATATTATGCAGGGCATCACGGACTTGTGCGTAGAAACAAATCATGGCGCGAAGCCATTCGGGAGGAGGGCAAGGAAATGAACATGACAGGTGCTCGTGGGTCGTGGCCATTTTGGCTACACGGCCATAGTGTTTTGTTCCTGTCGGGGGCTATTGCCATGTTTCCTGGATGCGTCCTGCCGCCTGCTGCAGTGTTTTCTCGAGCGACATAGGAGCCGAATGTGTGGTGAGCAATGGCAAGACCGCTCGGTAATCCAGATTTGAGCTCTCTGCAAATCATCTCCGCTCTTCCACCTGTAGTGGTGTGGCAAGCGATGGACGAGGCGCATGTAGGTGCGCGTCGGCTAACGGCTAACAGCCGTGGAGACGGGTGCGCTCAGTCTGGCATTGAATGCTGCTAGCACTGGTTTTGGACTCGAGCCGGCTTCTTTCATGGAAGATGGGACCGCTACAGCAGTTGCACCGTCGCCAGTGCCGGCAACCACCGCTGGAGGGCAGAAGCCCAAGGTCAAGATGAGCCAAGTCACCGACCAGGAGCTTTTCAAGAGGTGGAGGTCGCACAGAACATGTTGGCTGAAGGGGATGCCCCACTGGGACGAGAGGCCTGACTGACGCACAACTCGCCTGTCTAATAAAGGCCGAGGTGTCCTGCGAAGCGCACCGTTTATGGACATGTGACATGAAGGTTTGGGGACAGTACAGATGAAAGTTACCTCTCAAGTCTTGAAGGACGGACAGTGGAAAAGCGCGGGGATCCCTGCGATCAGATAGGTCAAGACGTGACATGACAACGGATGGAAAAAACGACAAGTGTCCCCAACAGCTTGCTCATGTCCGCGATTGGTGTCGACAGCCCCGCAGGGGGCCCACAGAGGCCGGATGGATGCTTCCACCTCCCACTGCAAAGACCGGCGGCAAGGGTGCCAAAGGCACCCCGAAGGGTGGTTGAAAGCGATGCTTGCATTGCCACAGGTTCCAGCTCCCGAACCCCCTCCATCAGCTGTGTCTTCTGTCTGATGCTCAGAGACAAGTCTCGCGGGTTCTCGGAAGCCTGGGAGGGTCTTTCCCTGGACGTCTCTACGGCATGCATATTTTGGCTCTAGCCGTCTGGATTCCCTTCGAGGATCATCCGCTAAAGTTGGAACGATACAGAGAAGAGCCGCATCCGCCAGCGCGTCCGCCAGTGCATCCGCCTGCGACATGGACAAGTTTTGGAAGCGATTCGCTCTGTGGCGGAAGAAGATGATCAAGAAGAAGGACGATGACGAGAAGAAAAAGATGCTCAAGAAGTCGAAGAACAACAAGAGGAAAGATGATGACAGGAAGAAGGACGATGACAAGAGGGACGATGATGACAACATAGACCCAGGAGGACCTGGGGGCAGGACACCCTTTGAGAGGGTGTTTTTTCGTTCCTCCATGATTTGTATGAAGAAGGCCTTATCTGAAAAAAGGAGCCGTCTGCACCCTAAACCCTAAACACGGCTTGGGGCTTCTTGTGGTTGTGGCTTCCGCTATAACCCCGATCAGGTCTCGACTGATCCCGCGTCAACATCTGTGGCCTGGACCTCAATCCGGAGTCGGCTTGCATCCTGTGGTGAAATGGTCCCGAGCAAGCCAGATTCCAGGCGGATCCGATGAATGAGGGCCCTTCCGCTGTAGCCGAGGGAGCCGCAGATATGCTGTCGTTTGGGTTTGTTGTATGTGTCCTTTGCGCTTGCCAGGTTCGCGACGGCCCGATGGCTCGATACTTAGCAGCTGCAGTGCCTTTGCTAGTGTGTGCTCCATGGGTTGTAGGATCGGTTGCTGCTTCGAGGTTGTTTGGGTTTGTTGCACCGGTCCGGTGCCTGTCAGGTCTCGGATGCTCCTGATCGCGATCCTGACCGGGCTCGATACTTAGCATGCTCATTCATCATGTCATGTGAGTCTTTCTGTCCTTTCTTCACGACCTCTAATGCGGATGCATTATGTTTCCTGTGAGGTCCCGGCGGAAGTTTGGGTCCCTCTTGAGGCACATGCCGCGATGCCGTTCTGTGTATCCTTTCTCTTGGCTTTGCTCTCGGTGCTTGAGGCTCCGATACCGGCTCTGGTGCTGCCCTCAATCACTTAGAGCCTCTGGGCAGGTTGCAGCCAGGATTCTGCGAGGCCCCAGACAGCCCCAAGCCTCGGTGCCGGTGTGATCGCGAGGCCTTGCCGGACGATGGACCATTGGCTTCGGCTTCACTCGTGCCTTTGGTTTGGGCCTCGGGTGGAATATCCGGCTTCTTTTATGTATTGGTACGGTGTGATCAGGATGCCCGGGAAGCTTTGGCTGGGGCCCTTACAAACTACACTTAGGGTCCAGGGCTCATGTCGGTGCTCGGCAGGTCATCGCTTCCGCGGTGATAAAGGAGGAGGCACGATCTCTGGCTGCCTTCATGCACCTTCATGCTTGACTTCATGTTCGCTTGGTGCAAACAGAAGCCTTGCAACCTGTTGCTCGAGATGTTCTCTTAGCATTAAAGCAGCCCAGCTGCCTCCTTGACATCTGCGTCAGCAGGCTGACGATGAAGGAAGCAAGTTTGCAGTCGTCTCAAGAGTCGCCCAAGCATGATCACAAGCTGCCTCCAGGGATCTTCACATGGTCCCCCGTCGAGAGGCTGCTGAAATATGGAAGTGTCGACTCGCCCGAACCGTGCAACAGTCGTCAGCCGATGGTGTTGCCGTCGTTGTCCATTGGAGACAGCAACAAGGAGCAGGCCATGCGGGATGCCTCATCTGCTGTGACCCCTCGTCGCCGTTCTGGACCATATGGGCAGCTGCCTCCGAAGGTATTCACATGGTGCCCGGTCGAGAGGCTGATGAAATATGGGAGTCTTGACTCGCCTCCCCAGCATTCTCAGCCGGTGACGTCGCCGTCATTGCCGATTGGAGACAGCAACAAGGAGCAGATGGGTGCCGTAACTCCGCCTCGGCGTTCTGGAGCATATCCGATGACTTCTCCAGAGAAGCCGTCGCGGCGTCCTCGTTCCTGAGATCTGCATCTCAGAAGAAGGTGGAGACCATGCTTTATTGCCTAGAGCAACAATGACCAACACCGTGGACCATTCACTCACTCTAGCAGCTACTCCAGCACTCGGTGGGACAGCTGTTGTTCATGGTTGCAGTCTGTTACATCGCTCTGAGCTCGTGATTGGGGGACCCTCCGTGCAAGAGCGACAAACAATGGCCGTGTGCCGTTGCTACTGCTGGCGGTTCCGCTGCCCAAAGCCCAAGCCCAAGCCCCCTAAGCCCCGCCGTGCTGCAGGTCATGACTGGTGGGGCCATGCCATCCTCTGCTTGGACCTCGGGCGGTCGTGTCACCGATTTGTTTCTCAACATCCTCTCAATGCTGCTGGGTCCGATGCAGGCCCGATCCACTCCACGTGCTGACTCTGGTGCCAAGCGGATGAAGCGGGAGGCTGCAGTGCGAGGCTTGTTCGCCTGTTTCCACTGCATGTTGTTTGCTTCCTAGGTTCACATGAGAGCACAGAGGCACAGAGGAATACAGACCAACACCGAGCGAAATGCCGAAAAGGTTCCTCGACCCCCTTGCCCGCTCGCCTCAACCGAGAGCCTCGTAGGGTCCCCGAGCCGAATCGGCAGTTTATCATGAGTACGGCAGCTCAGCTGCCGATAAAATGCCGAAAGGTTCCTTCACCCGGGCCCGCTCGCCCCAGCCCATAGTTTCGGGAGGGTCCGGGAGCCGAATCGGCGTTTGCTAGTCCGGAAAACGCCGAAAAGGTTCCTTGACCATTTGTTCCCCTCCTTTTTCCGGAGCCGAACGAGCATGCACCGCCCCTAATTGCACCGCCCCTAATTGCTTGCTGGGTTTCTCCACAACACAGACCGGTTCTGAGTTTACCCGAGACCTCCGACCACACAAAAGAACACACTTCCAGGACTGGGAAAACGCCGAAAAGGTTCCTTGACCCCCAGGCCCACTCGCCCCAGCCCATAGTTTCGGGAGGGTCCGGGACCCGACTCCCAGACCACACAGAGGAACGCAGCACAGCCCATAGTCTCGGCAGGGTCCGGGAGCCGAATCGGCATTTGTTCCCCCCCCTTTTCCGGAGCCGAACGAGCATGCACCGCCCGTAATTGCTGGTTTCTCTACAAGACGTTCTGAGTTTACCCGAGACCTCCCCAGACCACACAGAAGAACACACTTCCAGGACTGGGAAAACGCCGAAGAGGTTCCTTGAACCCCCGGACCCACTCGCCCCAGCCCATAGTCTCGGTAGGGTCCGGGAGCCGAGTCGGCATTTGTTCCCCCCCTTTTTCCGGAGCCGAACGGGTATCCTGCTTGGTGAAGCAAGAGTCTGAGCCTGCCTGCCGGCCGAACAAGCGAAAGGCCGTTGATGCTGGCGTGACTCCTGACATCGAGGCCAGCCTCTTGCAGCCTTACCCAAAGCTGGCCCCGAGCCTTGGCAGCAAACTGCACGTGGGCACACTGCTCCACGGCTTGGTGGAGTTACTCCGCGATGCCTTGGGATGCGACTGGCCTCAACACTGCATAGCCATGATCGCCAGTACGGCCGAGAGCACGTTGCAGCTTCGATTCCAGCAAGAGGCACGACATCTGTTGGCGATCTTGGCTACCGACCCCCACTGGGCGATGGTGGCTGGACGTCGCCAAATGCTGCTTTTCGACAGCCGACCATCCCAGCTGATGGACGACACAGCCGTGGCCGTAGTGTCGCACATGCAGACTCAAGGCTTCTGCGACGATGCATCACTGATGAGGGTGCATGTGCCCCGCCAGACCGACGACTGGTCCTGCGGGCATCGGCTCTTGGCTGCAGCTCGATGTGTGATTGGGGCAGTGCAGCGTCCTGATTGCGACTGGCCACCAGTGCTGTCGAAGAAGGGCTTCAGCGATGATGCCTTGACGGATACCGTGGCTTACCTGCAAAAGAAGTGGCAAGGTGGGTCCCAGAAAGCAGTGAAGCCCAAGCAGGCAGCATCCTTGTCCGTGTCTGCTGTGTTGCAACTCGTCAGCGATGACGATGATGACGAGGACGACGGGGCCGATCAGGCTGACGAAAGGGTCAAGCAGGAGGAAAACGCTGGGAGGAAAACGCTGCACCGGCTACTCCTCCAAAGAAGCCTGAGCGATGCCGCTCTCGCTCACCCGTCGCGGAGAAGCAGGCCAAGAATAAGACAGCTCCGGAGGCTAAGGCCAAGACATCCAGGGGCAGCAAGAAGCAGCTGCTCCTGAGGGAGGGAGCTGCAATAGCCAGACGGGCTGGTGTGTGCCATGGCAAGGTTTTCCAGACTAAGCACCAGGAAAACTTAGATGCGAACCCGAGGTTCTGCGAGCAGCTGGCTGCCAAAACACCCATGTGGTGTACGAGCTGCCAACTGTTGCGGGCCATCATCCTGAAGCAGCAGGATCAGCAGATGCTCCTCGCCGATGACGATGATGCATCTGGCGGTGCAGTGGTCCCAGCTGATGCGGATGATGCGGCTGAGGCCGTGGCTCCAGCACGTAGGGGGCCGGGGCGGCCGCCCAAAGGCAAGGACGTTCCGTCCCTCGAGGCTCGGGTCCAGAGAGAGCGGAAGGGCACCTACAAGATCGTCGTCGGCAACACTTGGAAATGCCTCCGTTGTGCAAAGGAGATCGATTGCAGACCTACCTCATGGATCATGAAAGGTCCCGTTTGCATCGTCGGCTGCACAATCCAGATGCCGGGCCATTGCCGGACCAGGAGGTTAATTGTGGAGGAGTTACTGTGGGGAGCGGTGCCGTGCCGCAGCTGGACAGGTATGCGGTCTCCTTCGAGAAGTGGGTGCAATCAGGCCAGCTTGCCTTCGCTGCTGCACCTGCCAGCGACCCGCTGGGCATGATATCCGTGTCTTGGCAGGCTGAGGACTTGATGCTGCGACACAAGCAATGCCTCGGGGCTGCGATGCAGCCGCCTGTAGTAAGTGTCTGGCACTGACAGGGTCCCGAGCCCTTCACACCACGGCCTGTCGTTGGGCCTTCCGCATCGACTTAGCAGGTCTCGGTAGAGCTCTTGCCTTGGAGAGCCAGGAGCAACAGAGCAAGCAGCGGGAACTCATGATGAGTCTGATGAGTGCTGACTACGGCGACATTGCAGAGGTGCGAAAAGAATTGGACGAGGTCATGGCCGTCCAGGACGACGATAAGCTGTTTCGCGTGATCAAAGGCAAGTTCCAGGCGATACCAAGCAACCGTCAGACCGAGCGTCTGACGGCATGGCTAGATGCAGTGCTAGTGTATCTCAGTGACACAGCCGGTCTGGACACGGAACGTGCAGCTTACCAGACCTTGTGTGCCAGCTTCAAGGAAAGCTTGATCTCCGGTAAGGTACAGCGCTCCGACCTAGACATGGCGGCAAAGATCGCCGCGGGTGGGCTGCATGCCCACAAGGTGGTTCGCTGCTTAATGGCCTCCTTCTTTCCTTCGCAGGAAAAAATCGCAAGAGGTGCCGCAAGTCGACCAGGGACCTCACAGTTCTTCACCGATGAAACGGCCCGCGAAATCTTCTTCGAGCTGGGCTGGAGTAGTGGCGCGAGAAAGATGTTGTCCTTCTTCGGAGTGGCATCCAAGAACATCCAGCCCTCCGTGGACTATACGCTTCCACTTGTCCTGTGGCCTTTCAGGGCCCACCTCAATCCGGATGATTTGAGCCACAACTGTGAGGTAACCCTTCAGCGCTTGAACGTTCGAGGATCCAGGAGCTTCCTCGTCTCAATCGATGAGACATACATGCACCCGACCTTCAGCCTCATGACAGGCCTTTGTCCAGAGGCACCTGAGTGTGTCATCGGAGGCTTCTGGTTCGAGGACAACGATCGGTCGCTGCTGACGGACACGAAGAACCTCCCCAGCGAGCATCTAGCCAGGATGACCCTTCACTTCATCGTCTCCCGCAGCGACAGCTTCCAGCGGACTTTCGATGTCATGTGCTTCCCAGTCAAGCCCAAAGCCACGGCCAAGGCGGAGCACCAACTCTCCTGCTATGACGGAGAAAAACGACAACATCCCGCTTATCGGGGCGAGCTTCGACGGGGGGGGCCACTAACCTTCTCACTGGACGAGCCTTTCTGGCTCAGCTCAGCAGGGATGAGATGGCGGGCCTCGAGTTCTTCCGGGACTCTTGCAACAGGCTGCGAAAAGCAGCCGCAATTTAAGCAAGAAAGCTATGGTGGACAATTTTGGGGAAGCAGCGAAACGCGCATGGGTTGGCCAGAAGCAGATGTTTGTCAAGTGACAGGACCCTCAGGCCATCTCAGGCCGACAGGAGCGATACACTTGGCGAAGACAGTCCCGATCTTCAAAGTGCAATTCTGCCGATGGGGATGAGACATGGTCCTCCAGTATCTGGGGGGGAGTTACCCTTGGAAGAGAGTGGAAAGTGGGCCGCCCAAGCAGGGAGCTGCACCCTTCAAGAAGTGGAAGAAAGTGCTTCATGCGTTGCACAGAGTTGGAACCAACCGGCTTAGAAACGGGGGTGAACAAGATTCTGGATGCCAAGATGCAACAGCTGAGGTCTGAGTGGCTCCAGGAAAAAGACTGCGTCCTCGCCATGCTTGAACAATTGATGAGCACACGGCATGCGGAGCCAACTGGAGGCAGCTAGATTACCGGTCCACCAGAAATGGCAGTGGTGATCGCTGCGATCGTCCGGGCTGTTGCAAGCAATTTGCATCAGACTGAAGCTCTCGCCACCCTCGGCACAGCGGGCAGGAAGTATCGCGGTGCCGGCCGTGCATGGGCGTGAGGTCACCCGAAAGGTCCGAAGCGACATCCCGCCCTTTGGCTGGCAGATCTTTTGTCGAAAGAGAAAATTGCGCAACTGCGGTGCATGTGAGGGAAGGGCGGGAGGGAGGGAGTGACAGCTGTGAGCCTTGAGTTGTTGCAGAGCGCAACGGAGTTGTGAGTAGTAACAAATGATGGCCGGAAGCCATTCGGATGACAGGTGCTCATGGGTCGCGGCCAGTTTGGCTACAAGGCCATAGCGTTTTGTTCCCAGCCACAGGGTTTGATACCTTATCGTCCCCCCCTCTTGATTGATGGACAGGGCCGTGGGTTGGGCGTGAGGCCACCCGAAATGCCCGAAGCGACAGCCAGACCTGCGGGTGGCAGAGTTTTGGTGCACCTGTCGAAAGAGACAATTGCGCAACTGCGGTGCATGTGAAGGAAAAGTGGCAGGGAGTGACAGCTGGTGAGCCTTGAGGTGTTAGAACAGGGCCACGTCGAGCTGGGTCAGGATCTGCTGCATTCTGCTGCGTCCGTGAATGATAACGTGCCACCGCTCCAGAATAATTCTGCCTACCACCCCCCAAGACCCTTTCCCGCGAATCCCCCGTACACAGCCTGTTTGCGAGGCAGCGGAACATGTTCAGAAGCTTTGTCCTCCAAGTGCATGACCGTCAGAGCAGGCAAAAGCACTCAGACCCCATCCTCGCGTTCGTGTCCTTCCTGGGCCTCTCGCATCTCCAGTGCCTCGTCACGACATCAGCGCCGTAACGATGTTTTTTTCGGTGTGGTCAGCAACTGAAATCTACAAGCCATGCTGTCCTGTGCATGCAGTGACTTTTTGTTGCAGGCCAGCACGTCGCTGCAGCGCCGTTGGAAACAGCAGGATCCTGAATCACGTTGGATGTGCGCTCGTGCTCGTGCACGTGTTGAGACGTGCGCGTGCATGTGCACGTTCGTGTGCTTGTGCATGTGTGCGTGTATACATATGTATATATATATATATATATCTGTGTGTGTGTGTGTGTTTATGTCAGCTTTCTCGGCTTCCTGCTCCACTGGTTGATTGGTCGAGATACGTCGCACGGCTCCTGAGTGTTCAGCCAACGCTTGGTCCGCAGGAGCATCGAGGCCGAGTTCGGGAGCCTCGAGCAACCGCCTGATTCGACGGCTGGTGAAAACCTCAGGGTTCGGGTTCTTACAATCATTGCTTCCTTCGCCTCATTCTCTTCAGCTCCAAGCTTCGATCCAAGAGGATGTTGGCAAACGAAACTGACAACATACCGCGACCACGAAACTTGCTAAGCATGCGCAAACGATGGGAAGGAGAAAACAAACAATGTATCTGTCAAAGCAATCAGACAAATAAAGACACAAGACTGCAGACATGCACTCCGGCATTCTCGGACATGTGACAGTGACAGTGACCGCGGAGGCTAATGCCACCCCGGCAGCCCCAAAGTGCAAAGGCGGATGCCGCCTTCTGTTTCAATTTCCTTCGAATCCCTTGAGCTCCTTTCGCCTCCCTTCCCAAGCTTGCGAACAGGGTGTCTGAAAGTTTTTGCGAGCACAAGCAACGGATTGCCATCATTAGACCGATTGCTTGTGCAACGCAATCCATTGCAGTTCCCACTCTATTGGCGAAGGATAACATCTGTTTCCCTTCGCGCTCGTGGCTTCTGTGCTGCGCTGATTGACCAGTGCTTGAGGAGACTTTGCGGTATGTCTCCAAACGGCCGCCGGCAGCCGGTCCCGTTCGGTTCCGAGCATCTAGGATCGCAGCAACTTGACATTCTGAAAGTACTTGACCGGCGTAATGTTTGTAGTATGCAGGTCAGAAAGCTGGACTGGCACATGTTCACGGCGACGTGCTGAGCTTCTCTAAGGTTGTTGGAAAGCTGCAACCGAGCCAGAGCAAATACCACCCCCAAGAGTAACTGCGCCAACAACTTTGTCGAATCACCCGTGCTTTGGGCTTCGCGATATTTCGCGATGAGACGTGATCAGCCCCAAGTCGACGAGGAAGGAGACATCGCCTGTGCTTTCGTCGTTCGTCTTCGCTGGTGTGGTGCATCTAGCCTGTGCACAGTTCTCCTCCTAACACTGCATCATAGAGATAAGGCGTAGTTTCGCAGTCTACCTTGCCAGACCTCCAGGGCGTTCAAGAGTTGTTTGGGTTGGTGCTTCTTTTCGGACAATGAGTTTGCTGTCAGTATCGGAGGCTCAGGACCTCTTGGAATGCCTGCCAGTCGCGCGCACCGCACAAAGTCATTGGCAGTATACAGCAGCAGGCTGTTTCCAAGAGTCGGGATGTGGTAACTAATGTTTCTGTTCAGCCGGCACACGCGTGCGATTGTTTCAGAAAGATCAGAAAAGTGCAAAACATTTGCGGAACTCAGCACCGTGTAGGTCTAGAGTCTGGTGTCTAGACACAGCTGCGAAGTTGTATTCAGATAGCCCTGCGAGTGCGCTACCGAGTGCTAATTTAGATAAACCAGTACAGTAGCTGCAATAGAGATGGTGCCCACATGGCCTGTTCCAATATTCATGTTGGGCAGGTGCGACATTTGCTGGCACAAGCGTCGACAAAGTATATTCCCGCGATGGACCATAGGTTTCTCATGTCCGGTTGACACAGATGCGGTTAGGTTGCTGCATTCTCCGTGCGGGCCAAGGCAAGCGAATGTGAGAGGTGGCTTTACCTGCTTGCATTGAGAGACTTGTGTCAGAAGCTCGTCGTCGCAAGTCTGTGCCTGGATTTTCAGATCTTGTTATTCATGCAGACGTCAGCCTGGCAGCAGAGACTGTCAGCTTGCCTGCAAGCACGGCACTCTGCACCCGCACTCTCAAGTTGAGGACATTGTAAGTAGGAGGGCTACATCTGCATCTACCTCCTACAAAATTATGCCATTGATTAACGAAGAAACGGCGTTCTACCCTCTTTAGGCGATTGTCATAGGAATCGTATTTCGGGCATAGGACATAGGATCCTCAATGCCTCTAGGACTTCAAGCCACATTTCGAGAATCACTCCACCAGGTGTTGGCGCCAAGATGCAATTTCAATGCCTTGGCGACCCCGTAATTATATTTCGCCATTGCCTTGCCGGGGGACGCCTTCTCTTTACCCTTCTCACTCACCCCGCTTCTCACTCGATGGTATTGCTTTGCACCAGGCTTTTCGATGTAATTCTGATTATACACTGCCTTCTGCGGATTCTCAGGTCTTTAGCCGGCGAGGTTTTGACAACGAGCCCACAGGCGCCTCCATGGAATTGCCTTCCAAGTAACCATGTCTGCCTCCATAGGAGCTCTGATCTAGTGAATCTACTGCAAACATGCTGCACTGGCTTCTGTGGAGGTAGGCGTGTGATACACCCCACCTACATTCCAGGACCGAGCTGCATTGCAGGGTCATGGATGTATTTACTGAAGCACCGTTTGTTCTCAGAGGCCTCGGTCCACATATCCTTGCTCCTTCCTTTCCGTACTTGACTAGGCCGGACAGAAGATAATAAGCACGCGAAGAGTAGCCATTCAAAGTCGAAGGCGGCCTTCTGCAGAAGATCTGGTATAAACAGCAGGGTTGCAGTCTTTCATTTTTGTCGGCAGACGGGTTGCAGTCGGTGTGTATTTGCTTGCGCCTGGTGGTACTGCAGGAGCAAGGGTGGAAGCCGACAATAAAAAAGAGGAGTCTGACAGCGACTGAGACATGTGAGTCAATGCCTGCAAGTCGGCATGCAGTCAGTGTTTCCCGAGACGCCCGTGCACACAATGTCCTGCTCGTGGTCGATGTGGGCTGTTGTCACTACAAAAAGCTACCAGGAAGACTGCCTGTCGACTGCTGCACAAAGCATGCTCGCAGGGGCGGGACATGTAGACACTCTGTGTGGGAAGCTTGTTTAGTGGCAGTGTGCAATCAGTGAGTCTCTGTCTCACGTGCGTAGCAGCTGGCCAGAAATCTTGGCTGGCTGAGACATGTTGGAAACAAGTTTCCAATGCGCTTCGAGAAGCAAGTACCATTCGCTCACAGCCGCTGATTTGGCGATGTGTTGGCAAGTAGATTGCATGCAAGGCACAGTTGTTTCTTCGTGGACTGCCTGTATCGTTTTGCTGGGCACGCCTCCAATCCAATGCAAGCTTGGCTTGGGAGCTTTGGGCGGTGCCAAGGGCTTCCAGGCGCGGAAGTGTCTGGTGTTATGAGTTGTGTGGGTATGGACTACAGCGACTGGTTCTCCTTATGCTTGTTTCCGCGAGGTCAGTCTATCCCACAGCAACAGGTTTTTGTGCGATAGTAGGCTCATGGTCGTGGCACCGGTTGCAGTAGCAATTACCACAAGCATCACCAGCGCGAATGCCACCACCGCTATCTTACCTCGCAGCGCTATGTGCCCATCCCATCCCCCGTTCGTCCACGCAAAATTTCTAGTCAATGCATCTTGTGCAAACCGGTTCTGAGTTCAACTATAACGACGCCCCATACATGGGATTTTCACAACAGATCCCACAGTAGCATCGGCTGTAAACACGATATCCAGGTTGTGCTTTGTTTCTATTTCTGCAGATTCATTGAATAACCCGAATCGCTTTTCGTCTGTCTGAAAGGTGCCCATGGATGCTAGCCCTGCGGCAGTCTCGTCGAAAGCAAGGGCTCGGCTGCCGAGATTATCAACTGAGGATTGTAGAGGTTGAGCAGGCCAAGTGGATGTTCTGAAAGCAAAATTACGTTTTTGCAAGGGCACTCGCTGTCTGAATTGCGGAGGCCTCGACCTCGAAGTGGATCGATGAATTCGCCTGCGCAGCTCTCTGCCCCTTGGCCTGCGAGACTCAGGATTCAGTAACCGGGGTGGCTGGAGTCTCCGGTGCTTTCGCAGTCAAATGCCAAACTGTAGGTTGAGTGCGCAAGACCACCGACAATTTACCTTCGGCAGTTGCGCAAGAACCCTGCACATCGCATAAGGTCAGTTGATTCTGGATGACAGGTTCCGCTTCAGTGACTGTGAGATCTAGGTGCAGTGGTATTCGCTGATCTCCACAGCTGACACTCAAGCTCTCCATAGCTTGACCTTCTCTCACCAGAATGCGATCCAGCGTGACAGTATTTCTGCAGTAAATATTGGGAGGCGGATCGGAAGCACCTCCGATGTGGGTGCACCGTTACGACGGCGAAGAGCACTCCCACCCTTTTTATACGTGGAGGCTGCTTGGCCATGATGGCCAGAAACCATTCCGAAGACTACTTGACGACTGAAAGAAAGGCCATCAGCCCCTTCCTGCGCTTCGATGGCCTCTTGCCCAACATGCCAGATGCCTAGGGGGTGGTACAGGATGGGTAATTGTCCATGCCAACTTTCGAGCAATTCCGAGCTGAGCTCGATGACCCGTGCTGGTGTCACATGTGATCATATGTAATCATATGTACAGCCGAGCCTGAGGCTGTATGCCTTTGGCGGGCGCAATCAGGAGGACGGCCCTTTGAACACAGCCAGATTCTGAGTTCCGCCGAATTCTCCATGAGTTGATTGTTGTGTTTTGCTGTTTATTTTCCGTTGTTTGAACACTTATCTTTTTGTCTGGGTGTCTCGGGGATGGCAAAGGTGTGCGCGGACAGGGTTTGGCTTTGTTGACCACCGTTTCTCGACAGTGGTGGACCCTCCACAGGACAAAATATCAGAAAGTTTCCGCACTTCTGTGAAGCAGTCTTTATCTTTGAAGTAAAGCCAAGCGCTTTCTCCCTCGCCCGCGCATGCGGGTTTTCCGAACCTTATGTCCCTCGTTTCAGAGTGCGATTCCTCTGGCTGGGTGACTTCCACGCTGTACTGGCTTCGAAGGCTTCGAGTGTATTGGTGCAGTGCTGTCCCGGCATTCCGGGCACTTTCCTGCAGGAACAGCCTTAGCCTGTCACCTCTCCAGGTCGAGATCTTCAACACCTGGCATGGCTGCTGGGCGTACCCCTTAGACTCGTGGGCGACGGAAACGCACAATGACTCACAAAGTCCAGTGTTTCATGTGCCGGCCTGTTCGCGCAACGTGAACGGAAAGTCGAAGCTTCTAAATACGCCTCAGAATATCTTACAGTATAGAACACTTCCCTTACATACCACTGTATATACCTTGTAGAATACCATCTGGAATAAGCTGTAGAATACCGTATAGGAGACCCCCTGTATATGGTCAGGTGTCTGGCATTCCCGGCGGTGGGGGCGTGTTCCTGGTTTTATTGACCTTAGCCTGTACTTTAAGCCCTACCCTCCCTAAGCCCGTTCAACTCGAAGCCTTATACCGTTTTACCCTAACCCTAAACCCCAAACTCGAAAGCTTAAGCTAGACCCCAGACCCCAAACCCCCAGTGCCTGACCATATATGACACCCCCTGCGTACCGTGTTTGTTCCTTATGAAATACCGTACCTATAGAGCACCCTATAGGCAAGGTTTTATGCAGGAAATGGGCTTTATATAAAGAATATCAGGAGGAGCGCAAGATCTGAAAATTCCACAATTAAATTATAGCTTGTTGAGTAAGGGATTTCTATGACGGAAATCAGGAACGTGGAGGAATGTTGTAATTGAGGGCTATTTATGAAGGAAATCAGGAATCTAGGACAGTAGCCTACAGGATGCCTTACAGAACAACCTTTCTACAAATGTTGAAGAATTACGTATAGACCTCCCTGAGCAATACCTCATAGAGTACCCTCTTATACCTTATATATGCCTTATTGAATACCCCAGACCCTAGACAAGACCTTCTAGAATACCACTCATGTATAACCAATGGAGTGCCCTATGGAATACCTTATACAATGCCCTACAGAATACCCTGTAGAATGCCCTATAGAATACCTCATAAAAATACCCCCCTATACACCGCATATATGCCTGATAGAAGGCCATCTGGCACACGCTATAGAATTCCTTTTGGACTACCCTTGTAAGAAACCCCTTGTATACCTTATATATACCCTATAAGAAAACTGGTGCTATCGAACCGCCCTTCGCTGTCCTCATTTTCGGAAAACGCAGAGGTTGCGTAGCACCTGATTTTATGAAACGACAACCTTCAGAGAATTTGCTGCTGTCGAACCGCCCCAGTTTGTTGTCCGTATCTGCAATGGATAGCACTTAGCGCACGATTGGGCAACACGAAATTTTCTGAAGGGTTCCGTTTCAGCAAATTTGCTGCTATCGAACCACACCTGTTTGTTGTCAGTTGTGCAATGGATAACACAGCAGCGCAGCGGTTCGATGACACCAAGTTTTCCGAAAGGAAACCCTTTAGAAAATTTGGTGCCATCGAACCGCCCTTCACTGTCTCCGTTGTGCGGTTCGATATGTTCGACAGCACCAAATTTTCTGAAACGACACCCTTCGGAAAATTTGCTTCTATCGAACCACCCCTGTTTGCTGTCAGTATTTGCAATGGATAACACAACAGCACAACGGTTAGGTTAGATAGCACCAACTTTTAGAAAATTTGGTGCTGTCGAGCTACCCTTCGCTGTCCTCATTGTCGGAAAGCGCAGCGGTTCGATAGCATCAGTTTTTTGAAGGAACTCGTCGAACCGCCCCTCTTTGTTGTCAGTATCTGCAATGGATAACACAGCAGCACAGCGGTTCGATGGCACCAAACTTTCTGAAAGGAAACCATTCAGAAATTTGCTGCCTTCGAACCGCCCCTCTTTGTTGTCTGTATGTGCAATTCAGAACACACTAACGCACGATTCGGTAACACTAAATTTGCTTAAGGGTTCCCTTTCGGAATATTTGGTGCTATCGAACCACTCCCGTTTGCTGTCAGTTTTGCAATGGATAACAGAGCAGCGCAGCGGTTCGATAGCACCGAATTTTCTGAAAGGAAACCCTTCAGAAAATTTGATGCTGTTGAACCGCCCTTTGCTGTCCTCATAGTCGGAAAACGCAGCGGTTCGATAGCACCAACTTTTTCTTTAAAGGGGTTGCTTTCGGAATATCTTTGTGCTATCGAACCACCCTTCGTTGTTGTCAGTATTTGCGCTGGATAACACAGCAGCACAACGGTTCGATAGCGCCACATTTTCTGAAACCCTTCAAAAAATTTGGTTCTATCGAACCGCCCTTCATTGTCCTCATTGTTGGAAATCGCAGCGGTTTGATGGCACCCTTGGAAAATTTTCGGTGCCATCGAACCGCCGTTCTTTGTTGTCAGTATCTGCAATGGATAACACAGCAGCGCAGCGGTTCGATAGCACCAACTGTCATCCCGTACCGCCTGAAAATGTTAAAAACTCACTTTCGAACCAATTATTTTCAAATCCTGTCACCCTCATCCCGCACCTGCTGAAACTTTCAATCGTTTGATTTGTCGAATCTATTGAAACGATTGAAACTTTCGAAAGAGGGTGGGCAGGCTTTCAACAGTTTCAATAGTTTTGAGAGTTTCAAGAGTTTAAAGTTTCAAAAGGTTCTCGGGTCTAATGATGTATGGATCCAATGTCCCATTGCGCACTATCGCATGTACAATGCAAGGCGCTTCCGAATTTCACAAGCGCAGGACCGAGCTCCGAGCCCAGCCAAAATGTCCTGAATGTAGCCAATTTGTCCTGGAAGCCGTTGTTTCGAACGTTTCTTGGTCGCCTTGTAAGGGTTATTGCTTGAATGACCCCCGACTAAAGTCAAGATCAAGGGATTGTGTTCACTGAATGACACGAGCCCAATGAAGCCTTGGAATGTGCATGATGCATCTGTGACTGCTATGATGCCGAATGGCTTTGGCTCAAGACTGGACAACGACTGGCTTGGTCGCACAAAAGAATGCCTGCGCGAATGTGTGTCCGTATGTGATGCCATTCAACAAACTTTTTCCACTCAAAAATGTTTTCTCCAATCAACAAAAAATTTCCCTTCCCTTTTCAATACGAGAGAAGGAGGAAGGAAGGAAGGGAAGGGAAGGGAAGGGAAGGGAAGGGAAGGGAAGGGAAGGGAAGGGAAGGCAGGAAGGAAGGAAGGAAGGAAGGAAGGAGGGAAAGAAGGACGCAAGCAAGCAAGGAAGGAAGGAGGAATGAAGGCGGGAAGGAAGGAAGGAAGGAAGGCAGGAACGCAGGAATAAAGGAAGAAAGGAAACAATGAAGGAAGAAATGAAGGAAGGCAGACAAGAAGGAGGGGAGGGAGGGATGGTTACTACCAGTCCAGGACTACAAGTATGAGTACGAGTACTAAGAGTGCTATCATTATTCTTCATACTACTATTACAACAGCTACTACCACTACTGCTGCTACGACTACTACCCCTACTACTACTACTACTACTACTACTACGACTACTAGTACTAGTGCTAGTATTAGTACTACTACTACTACTACTACTACTACTATCACAACGACGACTGCTACTACTACTCGGAATAACAATTCCGTCGGGAATTTTGGTATAGCTTGTAAACGAGATTTTTAGATGGGGAAAAAGTCTCCGGAAGCTTTTAATTTGCTTGTAAACAGCTACAGAAAGTTTTTCTTTGATTGAAAAATTTTGATTGTCCCACAAGTTTTGTTGATTCAACCGATTTTTTTTGATAGTTTTTTTGCTGAGTTTTCCGTATCACTGGGAAAGTGACTGATCTCGGTTGGTTGTGGCTGTGTAGTTTTGATTGTGTCTTTGACTTTTACACTCGCTCTCTCCTGTCTTTCTCTCCCTGTCTCTGTCTCCGTCTCTGTCCCTGTCTCTCTGTCTCTATCTTCGTCCCTGCCTCTCTCTCTATCTCTGTCTCTCTTTCTCTCTCTCGCTATCCACGGATTGCAACTGAAAGCCTTGTGTGTTCCAGGTTCGTGGACCGCCAATGCCCAAACGTCGTGCCGGTAGTGCAGCTGCCCTTCTTGATGATGGGCGCATGATGATCATCGGTGGGTCCGGTCCCCATTGCCGTCACGTTTGAGGTCGCTAGCATGTTTGCCTGCGCTAAGTAGTCCTGGGAAGATCCTCAAGATCTTCAGTCTTGTGTGACGAAGTGCCGGTAGTTAACCCAGAAAGCAGGTACAATGAACGTGGCATCGCAGAGGGTCTTCTGGCCAGTTGCGACATCTTCGACCCGCTGGCTGGCACCTGGATAGAGGACTTGCAGAATGCAGAACCCTGCGCTGGTCGAAATCAGAAACACCAGAGCCAAAGCAGGACGGAGCTGCGCCACTTGCTCGAGCGCGATGGGGCCATGGTTGTGCATCGCTGCAGGGCAAGGCCTAGATCACGGAGCCTTGTTGATGGCACATGACTGGTAAACGAAGCAGTAAACATTGATCATTGATTTCAGCGCACTCACACGCACCATGTGCGAGTGCTCTTCAGCTTCAGTCTGCAGGTCTATGTTGTCGGCGGATGTTCGCTCCAGCTTGACGCACCCCTGCAGGAGGCTTTTTCGCTCACCTACACTCCGTCCGCTCTAGACAGCATACATGGCAACTCGCAAGCCTTTTGTCGCACAGTCCTTCATGGAGACGCTGCGGCAGTGTGAGATCTACCTTCCCAAGGAGAATCGGTGCGCATCTGAGAAGTTCAGAATTCAGAAAAATCGCTTGACTGTTCCACCTACACCGTGCCCCATCTTGAAAACGTAATTCCATGTATTCCCGCTGCTGTGATATACTATCATATCCTGTCCGCGCGTGCCGGTGCAGGAAGGAAGACTAAACGACTACACGGTAAGTGACGGCCGACGGGTAGGATAGGAGAAGCAAGGGAAAGGCCACCGTGGCAACACAGGACAACTGACGGGAAAGGTGCGACTGGAGGAGAACGGGAGGGCCGTGGATGACATCCGGTTGACCGTTCCAGTCAACAGCAGGACTAACAGCAGTCGTAACGGCATTGAGAGTGTATTCTCAGAGTACGTATTCTTCAACCAGACTTCAGCCGTTCATTGTGTTGTGAAACATCCAGGCGTTCACAACTCCGTTCTCTTAAAAAGCTGCCGAGCTATGCTTCTGTGTTTGTGTGTGGAAATCTGTTGCAGTTGCGTTTTGGGGGTTCAGGTGGATACCAACAGCACCCTTGCAGATCGCGAGATCCGGAACTCGAGTGGTCGCACTAGGCTGGGTCTCGGTGTCTGGGTCTGTCCTTCACACAAGTTGGAGCACCTGTCGGGAACTTTTGCACCATGATGTGAGCTGTATTGCCATCGGCGCACATGTAACTAGTGCTACATTGCTGCTACATGCCTGGCGACTTCTTGCAACTGCCTATTATGAGGGACGAGATGGAACAAATCAGGAGACTGTGCAGTTCCCACCGAATATGGGGATGAGTATGGCATGTGTCCGGGATGCGCATAGGTGATCATAGTCTTGGGCCCTTGGGTACTAGCCCTACCGTGTTGTGTACGCCGGCTATGATTGGGATCAGGGCGCTCTTCGTGAACAAATTTTAGTGTAGTGGGACCACGTCCGTCACGCGGCCGGGAAGATCAGGAACCTTTTCTTCTGTTTCAACCATTGGATTGCTCGGGCTGGCCCCATGTATGTTACTGGTGTTGTCCCAAGAAGGCTGCGCAGCAGTTTTGCAACAGAGCTGTACCGGAGCTGTGGCGCAGAGCTGTAACGAAGCTGTAACGAAGCTGCGCAAAGTGCCTCATTTTTTTCCTTTATTTTTGTGTTGATCTGTGCCTTTTAATTGATGTTGATTTGTGCCTTTTGAGTTTTCTTCTAATGGTGGTGGTGGTGGTGGTGGTAGTAGTAGTAGTAGTAGCAGTAGTAGTAGTAGTAGTAGTAGTAGTAGTAGTAGTAGTAAGTAGTAGCAGGAGCAGGAGTAGGAGCAGGAGCAGGAGTAGGAGTAGGAGTAGTAGTAGTAGTAGTAGTAGTAGTAGTTGTTGTTGTTGTCAAGCCTCTCGGCTCAGGCGAGGTC